TATTTTATCTTAGTAGCTAAATCTTTCACAGATAGTTTTATTAGCATAAAATACTATTTTGTGATGTTATTACATACCTGAAAATAAGATATGAAAACACCGAAAGCTGTAGCTGAAGACCGTTTTTTTATTCACTGCTTTGAACATGTAAAAACCACAGGTGTTATATTGTCAGATGGATAAAGAGTTTACTCAAATTTTCCCACTGTCTTTTTAAAAATGGAACTTCAAACCACAATGTATGTACAAAACAAGCAGAGTTTTTAGCTGGAATTGTGAGACAGACACAGAGCCGGAGGGTTCATTGTCACTGTGTATTTAGCCTTTTTTGCATTTTGGATTTATGCCATTAAAAGAAAGAAATATGTTTGGAGACAGATATCCTATTTTTCAATTTCTAGTGTGCATTTTCAACTATACAGCATATTCAGCATCTTATCTCTTGCATCATATCTTCTACTCGGCACTGGTAAAAACAACAGCCTGTTTCAGGTTGTTGAAAGAAAACTGGTATTCTCTCCTGCCTTCTCAATTCTAGCACTTCTGACAACAGCCACCTGTTTTTTCTGTACTTCAAAAAAACCCTGATCAACTGCAAAAGCCCTGGAGGTGATCTGTCCTGTCTCTTACCTCTCACCACCCTTCAATAACCCTAATCACTTGGAATACCGAATAAGGCGTCTCATACTGACCAGGAGAGGGGAATTGGAGTGCTGGCAGGAATTCCTCACTGATAGTTTGAAAATCAAATTAGAGAATGAAATTTCTAAAATTCAAAACTTTGTTTTACAGGCAGAAAGCAGACTTACCCTTAAACCTAAGTCAGTTGTACATCTCACTAACAAGTGTCACTTCAAGCACATCTTCATCTTGACATTATTGCTAATGATATTCTTCTATAATAAGTTTGTCTGGCTCTGTTCTCACATTTGCATTTCTAACTCTTGAAATCCTTCTTTCCAACTCCTGTCATTGAGTAGGGCATCAAAAATTTCTGAGATCCAACCTAAACTATACTACTGAATCAATCTGTCCCTGAATGAATCAGATAATCTCTGTCACTCTTTTTTGTGTGCATGAAATTAATATTATTATATATTACACTCAGTGGATATACAGGATTACTTACTGTTTCAACAGTACTTTTATGTGAGGAAACTTAAGTAAACATTTAATAGATTTACCACTCACATCTTCTGATGTTCAAGATGTGCTGTTACTTTGGCCCTTTTCTTCCAGCAGTTACCCTTTCCACAACACACCTGTCAGGCCTGTTTTAGTGAAATGGAGTGTAGTCAGCTTTAGTCTACTTCCTATTCTCACCAAGCACTTTCATGATCCAGATTTTGTAATAATTTGGTAAACTCTGGCTGTGTAGTTCTAGACAGACAGTGTTTGGGGTCACTTTAATAGTCAGTATTCATTCTCTGTACTGTATGTCCATTTCCGCTAATGGAGTAATTTGGTAAAAGTGGCTATGCAGCAACCCGAAGCATCATAAAACAAAACCAGGGAGTGGAGCAAACATTGCTTGTTTGTTTTGTTTTGTTTTTCCCTACACTTGGTATGAAAAATAATCCTGCCTTTCGTAATGACACCCTCTTGACCCTTTTAGAGGTTTTTTCTTTTTGTGTTTTTCCCTTTATTTTTAAACCAGAAATTATATCTGGAATTTACAGTACAAGTAAGAAATCACCTGCCAGGAGATGGAGTTTTATGGGCTCAGGAGCATCATTTCTACAGTGTGTCTCACAATAACAGCACATATTTAACACTGGGAGGGCAGAATAGATGGCTGTGATATGGTAGTTCTGATATGGTAGCTGTGATAATGATTTAGTCTGGCAGGTTTGAGACTATCTCAGTTAGCATCATACAGATGAGGTGCCTATAGGAGTTAGAAGAGATCTGGATCCTTGCTGTGTCATGTATACAGAACAAGGCTACACACCTACATCTAAGCTGCACCTTGTCCACCCATGTTTTCAAACATGTTCCTTGAATCATGATTGATACAGTTAAAATTTGTGTGTGTACCTTCCTGTTTACTCCCCTCTTTTCTGGAACAATTTCTTTTCTATCCCATCACCTTGACCACTGACTAGGGGAGCCCGAAAGGGGCCATTCCTTCAGGAGTTTTCTCATGCGCTGCCCCAGCGGGGCTTGTGAGGCTTCGTGGCATCTGAGCCTCAGCCTGGCAAACAGATTGTGTGGGAGGTGGCAGCGGGGCGAGAAACGTGTGCGGCTGCACGAGGTGAGCTGCGCTGCTGTAAATTAGGATGAGGTGCTCAAACGTAATACTTTCATGGATTATTTCTAACGACTGGCTTTCTCTGTTTTTAGTTGGTTATGGTGGTTTCATTTTAAAATTAGAATCTTGGATATGAGGCAAGCTTAAATTTAGAGCAATACAGTGTTTCTGTCTTCTACGGAGATACTGATTCACTGCCATTTTTATAATATTTTAATCTTTTCCCCGTTATTGCATCTTGCTAAGTCTCAAGTAAACCACTAACTTGCATCAGCACTTTTACTGTGCTGAAAAATTTCCTTTCATCTTCTGATTATCTTCATGGGCATATTCTATCTGTGCTTTGCTATATTTTAAATTTTATATTGGTATTAATTGAAGTTGCCAGTGGCATGCAATTTATAAACTTTAAGATAAAATAAATAACTTGTTCACTAGGTGGATTTCCTCAAACATATTTTCTGTTCAATTCTCTGTGTTTTCCAGTGACTTGAAAAGATCACTCCAGCAGTCTATATTTGCTAGTATCTAATATACTTTCTGATTTTTATAGATTCACTAGTTAAACTGTTTCTTTTCCTGCTTAGCTTTTCTTGAAAGTAAACTGACAGGTTTCCAGAGCTTTTATGCAATAATGAATTTTTGAGTGAAACATTTTCTGCTTGTTTCCACTGGGATATGCAAAGTTGGACTTGGAAATAAAAACAGGAGGATCTGATTTATCACCCTTGTAATGTGTTGTTGAGTCTGAAAAATCAAACTCTTTCTGAGGGGAAACCGAGCACTGCCTAGCTGGTTGCTAGCTGGTAAAGGCATTCCAATACAACCACCTACTTATCATCTTGGCACGAGTAGAAGTTGAGAGAAAAGCAGAGCAGGATATGGTGTTCCTTCAGTGCTTTAATAAAAGAAATATTAGCCACAAATATTAAACAAGTAGCATACTAATATCAATCACAATTTGCTTTTTAACTTTAAAGTTTTTCAAATTAGAATGGCTGACTTTACTGATGCTGTTGTTAAAAGTACAGTAATGGTTCTGGAAAAATGCTGAAGAGAATTGTTCTCATCTGTAGCTAAACCAGTGTAATTTACATTTGTTTCACTAGTCAGTCTTAAACTGGATGCACCCAAACCTCATTCTCTGTGACACTTTAGGCATGATATGTATATAACAATGAAACTAATTCTGTCCGTACTATCTAAAATTATTTTTAAATTTAAGTTATTTTCAGTGAGCTAAGATAGCAAAGTGTTTCCATTTCTTGTAGGTTGCCCTCCAAGCTGGAGGCAGGAGGCTTGATTTATTTTTCAGAGTGAACTTTGAGAGGGAGAATGGCTGGCAGAGAAGGCATGGTCCTAAGTACCAGCTGTAAGTGGTCCAAACAACTTTACCAAATGTTTGTTTGTATTTTGTTTGACTTACATACAATCTCATTTCATAAGCTTGTTATTGGTCAATACGTTTTCCTTTTATGGTGTAAGAAATTACTATTTCTAGTACAAATATCCATATCAGTGTCCATCAATACTGTGTATGGTTTATGGTTCTTATTCTCTGTTTTGAGGAAGAAGTTCAGGCTGAAAAATTAATGTGATATTGATGATCAGTCATCCTCTGTAACATATGCATAGTTGAAATTAATAGCGGGCAATCAGTTCATACTCTGAAAGTTGATTTTGTTTAAGTGCTCATTAAATTCTTTCATACGATACATCCTGTTGTGGCAGCAAGAAATCTGAGTTCAATTCAGTGCATTTGAGACTTTCTATGTGAATTTGAGTGAATTATTTCATGTATATGAGCTGAGATATCCTTGTACTTGTTATCTGGGTCTAAGTGGGGAATTGGCTTGGTGATAAAAGGACAGAGACATGAATGAAGGAATGCAGATAAAGGGAAAAGACTTGTGTGTGGAAAACTGAAATTCGAACCATTCCCCCCCCCCATCAGAATTAGAACAATGGAGGAAAATCCATTAAGAACTGTTAAATATGAAGACACCATCACTGGCTGAAGTCTGAACTCCTAACAGCTGTTACTACATGCCTGCTTTATTCTCAGATTCTGCCCTACGCAGTCATTGGAAACAAGAGTACCACATCTTTGCTCTGACCTGATTTGACTGTTCCTATATTACATTACATATGGGACAGCTGCTCACCAACAATAGCAGGGTTCAGGAAGGAGTTTTCCTGTAAAAGTCTGTCACCAAGGCCATGTAAGATTTTATACCTTATTCACAGTGTAAGTAAAAGGGAAGTTCTGCTAAGGCTACATTAATGCAAGTTTGTAGAGGGACTAACACAAATCTGAGTGAGTGAGATCTAGTGCAGTGGGACTGCTAAAGACTCAGAGGTAACATATACACTGAATGGTTGGTTAACACTGACCCATAGCAGGTAGGGGGTAGTGGACTGACTCATCTTCACTTTTTGAAAACAGGAAAGATCTTGACACCCAGAATACAGGGATTCTTTTTGCTTTCCTCTCAGTGAGCTACTTGGACCAATGGGTCTGGGGACTCTACCATTGTGAGTGTTGGTGACATCAGAAGTGTTTGTGCTAACAGGATGGATGCAGTCTTGCATGTCCTACACAAAGCAGTCTGCTGCTTAGTCTAATACCAACATCCATAACTATCTTAAACTTTCAGCCAATACCATTCAGAGTGTTTAACCTCACAGTTTTGTTCACAGAGCTGGCAACACACTATTTCACTTAATTACATATCTTCTTTACCCTCAGAATTATGGTTTGGAGACCGAAAACCTGAGAACTCTGTCTCACAAGCTGAATGCCTCAGCCAAAAATCTTCAGAACTTCATAACGGGTAGAAGGAGGAGTGGCCATTATGATGGCAGGGCCTCCAGACGACTGCCAAATGATTTTCTTACCTCTGTAGTTGACTTGATTGGTGCTGCCAAGAACTTACTTGCCTGGCTGGACAGGTAATTTACTATTCCTTGATCCTTTATGCATAAGAATAATTCTTTGGGTTGTTTTGTATTTGTTCTTTCTTTTTCTCTTGTACCCTTTTATTCTAATATTAAAATGGCAGTTCCGAAATTCTAGATTAAATTTTATTTGAAAATTTCTCAAATATTGGAGGCAAAATGTAGTACCCTTTTACGTCAGGAGGGTGTTAAAGTTTTCTCTAGTTACTTTTTCAGATTCTTTCAGTCTGATAGTATTCTTTTCTGCTATTCCAAGTTGACATCTCACTGCCATAAATGGTAATATCATCAGTAATTTCAAAAAGAAGGATAAGGAAGAAAAGATTGTGGAGTTTGAACTGTCCTTCAGCCATCAAAAAGACATAAAAAATCTGGGGTTAAGCAAATCACTTAAGAATATTCAATATAAATTGTAGTACTTAGTCTGAGAATTAATTTTTCTTATTAGTGTCTTAATCAAGAGTAGGATTTATGTGTTAGGTACAGTTGTGGTGTTGGTTAATGCTCAACAATCAACCACTGCTTCTTTTTCCATCTATGAAGTGAGAATTTGATTAAAAGCATCTCTCTGAATACATGTAGTTAAAATTTTGACTGTGGAAAGAAAGAAACCAAAACATAAAATAGAATCAGAGCATTTATGTTTTGTTTCTTTCTTTGCAGTTATAGCAATGGATAGCTTTATCTTGAATCTGAGTGATTCTGAATGTATAAATGACACCTTAGAAATCACAGTGAGAGTGAATCACCCTCCTTTACAGGATTTGTATAATCCTGGTGACATCTTCCTAACCTAATGCCAGCAGTCATATTCCCTCGGGCTATGACCTTGTCAGTTCTTATGAATTCAAATAGGGTCAGATTCAGCTAGAATTTGGAAAGCCTGAAGAAAATCCAAGTGTGCAGGAAGCTGTTAGCAACTAAGTAAACATTACTTTCCTCTCTGAATTAGGGTGCTAACTGCTGCTCAAGAGTGATGTCATACTAGAAATGCTGCCTTTTTAATGAGCTGTACAAAGGAAATCTAGACTACTTACAATTATTTGGAAGCTCCTATTTCCACTTCCCACAAGAACGATAATGTCTGATGTTCAGCCAAATTCCAGTTTACATCCCTCCTGACTACATTTTTTCTTATTTCAAATGCATACTTTACAAAAATTGTGTAATTTGCTGCTGAAGTTTTTAATGATTTGGTGTTTCACACTCCTGTGATCTTACATGTATCTACTTATACAATAAAAAGGAGTTATAATCCTTAATGCTGTATAAACCTATCCTTCCTTTGTCACAGGTCTCCATTTGTCAGTGTGACAGAATACTCACTGCTGAAAAACAACATTGTTCAACTGTGCCTGGAACTAACAACCATTGTGCAACAGGTAGGAGTGTTTATCTTCTGTTCTGAGTCCTCTTCATACAGTTGCTTAAAAATTGCTATAATAGAAACATTGCTAAGCTTTTACTTCGCCAGAAAAATTGTTTTAGCATTACCTCTCTGTTCTTTGCATATTCTCTTTCTCTGGGAGTGACGGGAAGACTTTTGGACTTCGATTATCCTCATATGCCTGGATAGATTGAAGGACATTGTGAAGTTAAAAATAATTCACTTTGCTTTTGAGTAGACAATTTCATGTCAGTTTATCTACCACCATGCAAGTATTAAACAAAAGAACAAAGCCACAGTGGGAAACAGCTTAACTACCTCTAGCAGTTTATTGCAGATTGAAATATGAATGATCAAAAATCTTTCAGTCTTTCAGGAACGGGTTCTTACAGTACATGCAAATATATTCAGAATTTCTACTGTGACTTCTTCACTCAAAGGCAAGCCAGTTACATAAAAGCTATTTAGTGATCAACAAGAAATATTCACAACATTAAACAAACCCAGTATGGAACAAATAAGGGTAGTAGTATTATCATCACTGACATTCATTAATTAATTGTGATATAGTACACTCCACAGGTACATAAAATTAATCAGGTATGTAGTGCTACATAATATACAAAAATTATTGCTTGGAAGTAAGGCAAGAGGTGACACACGGGTACAGAAAGACTGTGGGGAAATTAGTTTTACAAACATTTACAGTGAGCTCTTGTGAGTGGATAAAAATATTGATGAGAAAAAATAGTATTACTGGAATACATGGAGATGTTAGAGAACAGTCAAGGCTGTCTTGGAATGGAGCAAAAGAGAAAGATGAAAGTGTTGTAGGAGGGAAAGCAAGAAGAAATTAAACACCTTCCTAATGAGGACAGCCTGAGAGAGTTGGGGTTGTTCAGCCTGGAGAAGAGAAGGCTCTGGGAAGACCTTAGAGCGACCTCCCAGTGCTTAAAGGGGGTACGGGAAAGGTGGGGAGGGACTCTTGATCAGGGGGTGTGGGGATGGAGCTAACAGTTATTTAGATTAGATATTAGGAAGAAATCCTTCCCTGTGCGGGGGGTGAGGTGCTGGCCCAGGGTGCCCAGAGAAGCTGTGGGTGCCCCCTCCCTGGAAGGGTTCAAGGCCAGGTTGGACGGGGCTGGGAGCCCCCTGGGCTGGGGGAAGGGGGCCCTGCCCGGGGCAGGGGGGTGGAACTAGGTGATCTTTAAGGTCCTTTCCAACCATTCTGTGATTCTAAGAAAGCTTTTCTAATGTCGTAGTTTTGTAAGCACATTAAACTGGCCCTGCCTCCAATATACAGGGCTTCACTGCCTGTCTCTGTCCTGTGCTGACACCATTTTCCATGTCAACTCACAGCAGCGCAATCATAGAACTCATTTAATTTAAAAAACTTCCTGGAGTAGTAGCATTCTGAAAACTTCTTTTTTTTTTTTTTTTTAATTCAATTTCATTTCAGTTCTTGGAAGAAATTATTAAGGCTGATAAATATCATTCTTTGTATTTTACACTGTTATACTTAATTTATAATATTCAGCTTTATTCCTGTTAGAAATTTTGTCCTTTATGCATTTTTGTAGTGCGAAACAAAGATCCTTTTTCTCTTTTCTTGGTTTAAAAATTCCTATGTAGGCATTTAATTATTTATGTATCTTTATTAAGTTTTCTCTTACAAGGTGTTTATAGCACTAGGCTATTTTTGATTTACAGGCTAAGCAAAATTAACTTCTCTACAGTATAAGAAGTTCTGATTCTGCCCTTCAGCTGATATTGCACTTTGTGTGAGTTTGAATTTTTTCCCTGTGGTCTAAGTGAAAATAGTATAATTTTGAATTTCTATCTCCATTTCTGTCGTTCATTTCACTGCTTTTGGCAGATGAAATTCAGTTCTGCTCTGCCAGCAATAGTTTGGTTCTTTTTTTTTTCTTCAGCTCCACTCCCAAAGCTGTCCTCATTTTGGCAACTTAAAAACAATCTATCTTTTACACAAACTCCGAGACATTCCAAGATGTAAAATGTTTAGTTAGTTCTTCAGGTCACTTACAAATCAAGTTTTGACTTTTTCTTTTCTTATTGTCGGATCTCAGTTATTTGATAGTCATCTATTAAGATCTTTTAACAGTATATTAAACTTAGCACCAGAAAGAGTAGATAAAACAAAATCATTCATAGGGAGACAGTTTTGCTGGTACTAAATCTGAGGAAAATTGATCTTAATGTATGAAAGCAGAAATGTCTCACCTAAACTAGAATTACATGCTTAACTGTAGGCTAAAATATTAAGTGAAAGGCATAACTAATAGAAAACAAGATCTCGAATACTTTCAGATACTCCTTGTTTTAGGAATTATATAAATTTTAGGTATTTAACTTAGAGCGAAAATCACAGTAAAGGCTATGCATTTGGCACATTATAAGGAATGTCTTCAACCTGAAGATTTATTTTGTGCAAAATTAACATGCTTTGTGTACATAAAGTACAGCTGCCACTCAAGCTGAAGCTCCTTCTATATAGGGGACATTACTATGTAATCTCAGTTTAATATAGACACTGCTTATGAATCTTCTTGCTAGGATGTCTTGTATGTATTTGAGTGACATACTCTTAGATCTAATAATGAAGTAGATCTCTTTCTCTGTGTGAATGCAAACATGAGATCTTCATTCAAAATTTCAACCAAACAGGTGAACTGCAGTGTTGGGTATTATTATTTACATACCATGTAAATGCTACAATGAATAAGTAGTCACTTGTTTATCTGTAAATAGTATCTTCTCATGATGGTTATAAGAACCTTGATCTTTATTCTCTAGTTTTAGAGAGGTTTTATACCTGCTCATTTATGTTTGGGAACGTACTTTATTCTACTCAGTTTTCTTATCCTTCACGATCTCACCTTCACTAAAATAAGTTGGGAAAGTATAAAAGAATAGCACTACACAGAAAACTGTGGAAACATCTTGATTTTAAAGTGCAGTGTCCCATCAAAATGTGTTGATGATATGATGATAATGTGCAAAAAAAAGCATGTTACTTCAGAGTATTGCAAATGTCTGGGTTCTCTGACTTCATTTTGAACTATAGCTCTAGCTTGAAAGTAGACTAGCTCTCATTTTTGCTCTGAAAATTAATCCCCACCAGACTAACTAAACTGAATTTTAATTCTAGTGCCAAGGCTACCCTGGGGAAAGATAACTGGAATAGCTGGGAAAGAATAGGTTTGGAATTTTGTTCATAAAATGTAGCCATTGGTTAATTTTTCATTGAGTAGAAAGAGTTCACTAGTACTACTAGAAGTTGTTTTTCTGATGATTATTTTACTGATTATGTCAAAGATGTTTACACCTGTGATAGGTGCTTTTGATAGATGCAGTAAACTGCATGAACAAATATTCTTTAAACTAATAGTTTGTCTGTGTCTTACCAAAGAATGTCAGCAGAACTCAGGCTATTTTTTTTTCCAACAAAAGCCAAACAATATGTTGCTTGTTTTCCCCTCTATTAATGTTTAATTAACCTCACTGAGATAAAGTCAGAGACCACATCATGTCATTTTACCCTAAGTTTAGTCAAATAGTTTGTCTTTAGGATGAAACATATGGTTTTTTAAAGCTATTTAGTTTGTACTGCAATTGATAGAAATTGTTTCTTAGTAGTTTCCTATACCTGGTCTAACTTTTAAATTAGTCCTCCTCTGAGCAGGTGGTTGGACTAGATAACCTCCAGAGGTCCCTTCCACCTGAATTGTTCTGTGATTCAGCAACTGCCATTAAAAACATGGGTGTTATTTTCAGTTTGAACTTTGCAGACTTCAGCTTTCAGCCCTTCAATCTTATTTTGCTTGCACTTGCTAAAGAACATTTTGTTATCAAACATCTGTTCACTGCTTTCTAAATATAGCTTATGATCAAGTCTTTACCTTAATTAACCCAAGAAAAGTTACTTTAGTGTATTTACCATTGTATATTTGCCTAATTTCAAAGCATTCTCATTCTTTTTAGAGTGTGAATTCCAGAAGAATGTTTGATTTTATGTATACAAGGAATATATTTTTAAACATCATGTTGTCATATCCAACATTCAAAGATTGCAGTACATATTTATTGCAGTGTTATATCAGGAAATGGCATTCAATTGGCAAACATCACAAAGTTTTAAGTTTTCTTCCAAGCTGCTCCTTTAAAGGGTCTCTTTCTTTTCAGCAGTTGACCTAACTCATGCTGTTTTATTGTACTAAGTTAATGAACTATTTTTATGTGTTAGTTAACTGTCCTCAAGATTTGTCATAAAACATTCTTTATGGTACCTGCAAATTTCAGTACTTGCATTTTTTTTATTTTGGAATTAAAAACAAAAATTATGGATATAGAGTGGGTGAGCACAGGTCCTACTGACCTTTTCTCTTTATGAATATTTAAAAGAAGGCTGTTTTACTTAATCAGAGTTATGAAGGTGTACTGTACCTTTGAAAGGTAGGATATTCTGGATAGCTCAGAAGCCGGCTTGTACATAATACTGCTGCTGTGACTGTTTTTGTAATTCCTGTATTTTACTCTTTTACAGAGCGGATATAGAATGCAGCTGCTCATTTTTTTTTTTTTAAGAGGTTTTAATCTCTAAGCAAAAACATTCTTAACATGCCATCTTGCTTATGGAGGATGTAGAAATTATTTCACTATAACGATTATATCTTTTCTAAGAAAAATAGATCAAAATTCTATAAATGCTAGACCTGGAAGACTTTTTTTTTTTTTTTTTAATGAGATCCCTAGTGCATTACTATTTATCAGAGAAAAATAAATCAGAAGAATATTGTGACCTACATATCTTAATATTTTATTATAATGTTGCAGGTGCTTTTAACCTCTCAGTTAAACTACTCTGATGTATTAAAAAAAAAAAAAAAAAAAGTCAATATACATCTATTTTGGAAGGAATCCCAAAGCCTTTAACATTTCTAATGCTAATGTAATCTTGAATGCGCAATGTAAGTATAGCTAACATTAATTCTGCTCTACAAAACAGTAGTATTTCAGTTTTACTATACATATTTTTTGACCTAAAGTAATTAAGTTTATGCAGAGTGAAGCTCGTATTATATTTCTAGCACAGAAGTTAAAGGAATAATTTGAAAAGGAACATTAGCTCTGAAATCAAGCTGCAAGCCCTACTGTGACTGTTTTGTTCTCTTGGTACTTGGAGGGTTAAAAGAAGATCATGAATGTGCTGTTTGAAGTGCATAAAACTCTAGGAAAAACTGCCTTGGGCATTGCCAACCAAACTGATTAATTGAATTCTCTTTTTTTTGCTGTAGAAAATAGCAGTATGAATACAGAAGAAACATCAAAGTGATACTTGACCATGAAATACTAATATACATTCTCTCTGTGTTTCTTGGCACTCAATCTTCTGATTTTAACATTCTTATTCTGTAAAAATATTCTTTAAACTGTATTCACTTAGAAGTTAATTTCTCTACAAAAGTGCCGATCCTCCAAGATAAACATGACCCTTAGAGTTGAGGGTGCGACAGCTACCTGTACCAGGGCTGAGTGGCTCGGACAGGCTGAGGAACAAGGTCCTCCAAGTGGCACCCAAGGAAGAAGGTTCAAGAGCTGGGCATGGCGTCAGTGGATGGGGCATAAACAAGGATTTGAGCTGCTGGACTCAAAAAGAAGAGCAGAGATCTGCCAGTGAGCTGCTGCTATTTCTCTTGCAAAGAGTACCACAGCTGAAGCTGATCATCTAGCTTATCTACTTCTAGAGTAAATGGAGTGAGGATGTAGGAATTATTGCATGGGAAGTTTAAAGCAACTAACTGTTATCGCTAACATATTATGATCTAGGAAAGAGGAAATCTTGAGAACTGTGGGAGATCTTAAGTTACTTGAGGGGATCTTTTACGTATATCAGTAAGTTAAATTTTACTTTAAAACTTATTAAAGGAAAAAAGACAAATAAACAAGACAGTGTTTCTCCTCATCCTTAAAAATATGTCCTGAAATCCTTATCTTGCTTTGTAGAAAGCTTTTTTCCAATGTGACATAGCATTTGGAGAAGTATTTAGCAATTTCTCAACATAATTCTTCTGTTATTAAGCATTAATTCACTTAAATGTAAATAATCAGTGCCAGTATGGCATTATAAACAAAATTCCTATGACAAACAAGGCCCCTGGTGAGACAACGATCCCAGCCTGGCTGGTCCTCAGCACGCCTTGTGGCAGCCTCTTCATCCCCTCCCACACAGGGCTCTGGGACTCCTGCCAGCCACTGGCTCGGGCTGTCAGTCTCCCTGAACACAGGGAGATGTGGGGATACCTCAGAAATATTTTCTCCTCAGATTTTGTTACAGAAAGGCACCCCTTTGATGACAGGTAGGTGTTGTGGGCCAGGGCTCACCGGGTAGCAGTGTGGTGGGCTGCCTGCCTCAGGCGAGTGGCTGGAGGTTCTGGAGCTCTGGGGCTGGGGGCAGAGGGACCCTGGCTGTGACTGCCCTCTGAGGTGACCAGGTGTTTTGGGAAGTCTATTCTAATCTCACCCTGTCTGGCAAACTTGAGTTTTCTGTATTTTCCTTTTAATTTTATGTTTTAGTAAAATATAGCTTGAGAGACTGTGTGGTGATTTCAGGTGCTGACTGGCAGGAGAGTGGTGGGGTAGAGCTGCCTCAGTGCACTTGGGCCCTCTCCTATAGGAAAGGGTTAAATACTGTCATGTCATATCTGTCTTGCTTTATAGAGGACTGTATAGAGGAAATACTGAAAACATTAACAAGAAGTAGAGGCATTACCTATCTTTTAGGAATTTGTATGCTTAGTTTAATGAAGAAAAAGTAATATTCTAGCCACTGTAATATCTCTAAATCAAAACACAAGTTAAGGGAGTGATGGAGTTAAGTTATGGAGTGATAAGATTTATTATTCTTAAAATAATAGCTAAAATAGGAAAATGACTGCTCTAGAAGTTACAAGTCTATAAGCAAATTAAGAGGTTGATCAGTAATATTGTTTTTCAGGCCTACTTTAAATTAATTTGTTAATAGCAATGTTGTGTAATGAAAAGCTGGGATGGAGTTGTTCTTTGAGGGGCCTTAACGGCAGTGAAATCCCCTGAATAGCCCTGGATCAATGCTCAGCATGAGCAAGCCCATGTCCTTTCCCATCCATTTTTGGTGTGGCCTGTACCTTCCGGAGTCCAAAGCTAGAGCAGTTACGTGACTTCTCCCAAGAGATGGGAGCACTGCTGTTTCTTGTCCCTTGTGGATGGTGTAGATAGTGAGGGCCTTGAAGCAAAAGATGGAGCAAACCAAACTGACAGTGTGGACACACCATGTTTAACATCTTTAGCATTGTACTTAGCAAAATATTCTGTTTACTCTTCCTTCCCATGCTTTATATTAACACCGTCTACTAGTGGTAGGTCTGACAAAACTGTCTGCACCCCAGACAAGTTGTAGAACAGGTAACAAACATTCTGCCTGATTTAAGGCTAGGCAATGTATCTGTTGCTCTGCACATCATTGAATTCTAACATGCCAGATTAATTACATTCAATTAATTTTTTCTCACTGTCATGACTCTGATCCCCTGCTTTACAGTTTTATTGCTGCTAATATTGAGCACAAGTTTCAGGACTGTCAAGGGAAGACTAGATCCCTGAGGTTAACCAGCCACAAGAGAAGTCAAGTTTCCTAAGATTATGAAGTAACCTTCTGGTCATGATGAAACTAAAGAGCTATTTGTCTTTACAAATACCTCTATAAGAGATAGATATCAGCATAAAGGCTTCTTTTCTTTCTTAATAGGACATTTAAAATAATGTACATTAATTGATTTTGGTTTATTTTACTACAGGATTGTACAGTGTATGAAACAGAAAATAAAATTCTTCATGTGGTAAGTAATCTAAGTATTCTGCTTTGGTATTTTGTAATCCTACCTCTTCCACTTAAATTTTTTTTTTTTTTAATAATTAAGGCTACTATAGGAAAATATAGTTCCTTACTATTTGACACAACTTCTGATAAATTATATCATCTGCTAAAAGTTAAAATTTTCATAAATAAGATCAAATAGTTAAAAAGTTAAAAATTATTTTCAAGACCAGCAGGATAGATATCAGTTTACATGTTTTGTGATCCCCTGAAACCAACTTAGTAAAAGCTAGTTGTGCCTCCTGTCAGCCAGTTTAATGATTGCCCCAGTACTCTAGATTTAACACTCAAAAATGTCTGTTTTTACATCAAAATGAAGAAATGGAGAAGTGTTACCCAAACAATATTAATGAAATATTTTTTCACCCGTGACCTGGTTTCCAGTTTCTCTGAAGACTGAAGGCTTACAGAAGGTGGTGTCATTTGTTTAAGAACCATTCCTATCAAGTCCTTTTACTCTTTCCTAAATTAAAAGCCTTTCAATTTTAAGGCTTAAAAATCAGCTTCCTTCTGGTATTCCGCAACTTATGCCCGTTTATTTTAAAGAGCCAGATACTGCCTCTCACCCTCCTCACACAGTTCCCTGCAGTAATGTTCTGTTATACCTACAGTTAATTACAAACACATAATTTGTAATTCTTAGATTATTATAGAAGCTTCACAGTACTCTTACTAGTGTCATACTCTTACTAGGATTGCTGGCGTGGAATTCCAGCAGTGGATCCATCAGACCTGGTGCATTACTAGCTTCACTGCTTGTCAGACTGAACACTTTATGCTTTCAGCACTCAAAAAATCTAATGACAAAGGGAAATGGAAGAGTCTCATACAAAGTTATTGATTAGATATTGGATGTTAAGTTCAAATACTTTATATTTTCCTAGTACTGTCACTGAAAACTTGTTCTGACACTGAGATAGAGTTAAAGCCTATGGTGAAAGAGAAATCTCAAAGGATTTACAAGTTCAGATAAGCTTTTAACAAGCTCAAACCAAGTGCCTGACTTTTTTTTTTTTTTTTTTAAAAAAAAAAAGCCCTTTACACATACTCTGCTTCCAGCAGGGATTAAAATTTGTCATAAAACATTGATGTGTTGTTAAATTCGGAAAGCAGACAGTGACTGTTGGAAAAAAGCTTACTCTTGCAAACCTGATTGTGAAAAGAACTTTTAAAAGCACCTGAAATCTTCTGGGATTTAGAGTGTGTATATATATTTATGCACACATATATATATATACACACACATCTTTTAACCCACAATTCTAACTGCATATGACTTCTAGAAATACATCTTTAACAGCAATGTTACTTTTGACTTTCTACCCATTCTAAACGATAGCCTAAAAAGATAAGAGATAGAAAAGTTTCCATTTTTAAGTATTCCATAAGCTCAGCAGTGAAAGTGTGATGAACCTTAAGGAGCCTGGATCTCAAGGCAGTAGAACTCAGCCTGAGCAAAATCATTTGAAACTACCTGATCCAGAGCACACAGGCTTGAAGAATCAACCTGTTTATCATTGTAACTCTGGGCAAAGTGAGAAGAATCACCATCTTCCTCACAGCATCTTAAAAAAAAAGAATTTCTTCAAGGGTGCTGAATTCAAGAATAAGCTTTGTATACTGATAATTTCTTTTATGGTCACTTTATTTATAAAAAATTAAATTTAAAAAGTACTCAAGAAAAATAATTGTGATGTTCTGAAGTAAAATTTTCCATTTGTAAGAGGATCTATAACTCTTAAGCACCACATGGCATTTTGTTTTATTTCTGAAAGGTATTGAGAAAGATATACTTAGAAATAAAGACAGATTTATAAAATGATAATTCATGATTGACTTTCTCCACTGGTTGCTGGAGAGATTCACTGAGGTGCGGATTAGTTTGGCAGAGCCCCACACTAAGGCAGCATGTGCTCAGATGTGATTATAGGTGCACAGTTGCCATTTCTTCAGTAGTCGTATGACTAGACTGTGTCTACTCTGGGACTCAGGTATTATGGGAGAAAATAAAACATGAAGGTGTGATCTTCAGGACCACTTAAATTGCATGTCTGAGAGTCAGGTTTCTTTCCTTCAGATATCTGTTCAGCAAAGTGTGGTTATCAGGACTGTGTTGGTTCTTTAGGACAATATAGTATACCTGTGATAATTAAAAATTACAACCTGCTAGTTGTTTTTTTCTCTCAGCAGGAAATACAGTTTATTAACTTACATTCATTGTACCAACCCAACAGTGGCTGCCATACTAAAAATACTTTTTGTGGTGGATGGGTTTGTATGGCTTGTTCAAGACTTAGTGGTTTCCTAGAGCTTCTGCTCTTGTCATGGCCCATTGAGAAAAATGTAATAAATGTTTTTAGGAGTTGGATGGCCTGTAAAGCTGCATGTAAGGTTCCTCTGCAACAGGTACTAAACTTCTTGAAGAACCCATTTTTGAGATTTTCTTAAGTGCGGTAGTATTGCGCCATCTGGAGAGTATGTACTTTGCTTCTTTGTGCTTTTGGAACTAGTACACAAGACTTTGGTCCTTTCTATTTTTTAATGCCAAAAATACTTTAGCATATGTTAATATATCATCTCATGTTGATAATGTCATACCAAACACTACTTCCTGACCCTGTACTATTATTCATAAATTCCATTCAGTTAGTCCCATTTATACTATCTCAACCTCTCCATTATTTACAACTGGTGTGAAGCCTCTCTTGTATCTGCTGAACTACCTTTACAGCAAACTGATATTTTTAATTACTCTAATATACTTTTTTTGAATATTTTCCTCATGATAAAATCCTACATAAATTTTTAGTTAACTTTGTGAATCATGGGGAGATCTTAAAGATTTGTAAGACTAAACTTGATTGAAAACTTCTTTCTTGTTTATTTATTGAAAAAGTTTTTGCATGTGACACCTGTAAAGTTAAAACATTACATCATAAAGTAGAAAGTGTTGTCTCTGGGCTTGAGTCTGCATCTAATCTGTACATACGATGTTAAATATTAAGGCATAGAGAGGGCCTCAATTCAAAATCATAGTAATATTTTGATGTGACAGTAATTCAAAAGCTGGATGAAAGAATATACTCACAGACAGGGTCAGCCATCAGTTCATATGTAGAATAGCAGTACAGTACAGTACATTTTTTGGGCAAACCAGTTTCTGTATCTCTGATGGGAGAAGGCAGGACCTAAAGTTTTTGTTTAGGAGTTCTGGCACAAAGCTGAAACCTCTAGAAATATTTCTGGTAATGGTGACCTTTAGATGCAGTCACACATTCCTGAATGGGATGCTTTGCATCTTGCAGCTGATACAAAAATTAATAGCCATGTCCAGTACTCCAGAACTGTACTTGGATTTCCAGATGAGTAACTATATAGTGAATGGAAATGTAAACTATAAATTCAGCCAATTAATTTATTAATTGTGACAGCTTTATTTGTTTAACCTATATATATAGTGTCAAATGAGATATTAGAAATCCTCATGCTTTTGCAGATGCCTGAAATAAAACTTCCCTTAAGGGATTTCGCTAGAATTTGCTAGAATTGGGGAAAATGTGAGTATAGTCCCCAAAGAAAAATAGATGCATACAGTACAACCTTGACTGGAAGACCTTTCTGAAATTTATATAAATGAATGCTTTCAGATTAGGTTTAAATATTTTTAGACAGTCTTTTTGATGGAACGCTTCAAGCAACACATGCAAATTTGGGAATAAATCTTTACACAAGAAGATTCACTGAGAGTACAGATCAACTCCTTTCAGATCCATAAAATTAATGTTTGCCTTTGATGGATAGGTTTAACCTGTCAGCGTCACTGTTACCATCTATGCTACAGGGCTCCTACTTGGAAGGTGTTTGTGTGGATTGGCATGAAGGTTTGGGGATCTTTAGCTGGAAAGCAGGATAACATAATATTATTGTGTAGTTGTAGTGATCTAGAATATCAGTTAAAGGATGTGTTCAAAGATGCATAAGAATTTTACTTCAGGAAATGGATTAACTAAGGTACTTTTCCGCCACTCTAATTTTTAACAAAGAAAAACATTTCTAAATTATATAATGCAGAATTCACCTAATTATCACTGTCGGTAGGGTTGTTCTCATTATTTGGTAGCCAAAATAGGTTATTAAATTGACGTATAAAGCATTTATTTTTACATATTTCACTCAACTTCCATTGTATGTATAATGATACACTACAATGACAGATAAGATGAAGTTCATCATGTATGTTTTTTTAAATGCAGTTGGAGTGGAGAAGATTCGATATACAGATGTTCCCGTCTGTATGGACAGTAAAATCTTTCCATCAAAGAACTGTATTTGCATGTACATTTCCTTGTCATTTATGGATATTTTATTCCCTTAACCTCTTGTTCTTGACTTTCATATACCTGTACTTTTTACAATGCTAAGAAGTAAAATTATCTGTTTATTCTCAGTCAGTTCTCAGAATAAGAACTTCTTCACTAGTAGTTTCAGTTCAAAATGAGGAATTATATTCACTTGTTTTTCTTCGTAGTGTAAAACCTTGTCTGGGATTTGTGACCACATCATTTCGCTCTCATCTGATTCTCTGGTGTCACAGTCAGCACATCTTGAGGTAGTTCATCTCACCAGCATTATGCCCAGTGAGGGTTTGGTAAGTAGCAAAGCAGTTTAAAGTTTAACTGTTAGAATACAGAATACAAGTCTCAGTTCTTTAGAGTGATTCCTTTTTTTAATTTATCAAGAAATCAAAATGTATTTTCATGCAGTGTCCTACTTTTTGGGTAAGCCGAATCAGATTTCTGAAAGTGGTTTTAATTAACATTCATCTAAATAAAGGGATTGTATTTTTTTTTTTTTTTTCAATTAAAACCTGTTTTACTTAGGGCTTCATATGCAACTGGTAACTATACGAGCAACTAAAGAAAAGTTACAGCCCTTTGATAGCAATATCGCAGTTTTAGGAATGTACCAAAATAATCACCAAGTACATACATATACACATAGAATTAACTAAATATAATTAATGTGCTTTGAAAATGGTTAGTGGAAAATATGTTTCTTGGACTTGCATAAAAATGTTACATGCCTCCCTAATTATTCAGTTCAAATCAAGCTTTCAGAAGTATTATCCCAGAAACAAAATAAATCCCTTATATTCATAAATTGTTGTTACTGAGCAGACTAGTTAGGTGTCTTCTGAACATCCCAGCTGCTCTGCATTAGTAATGGGTCACACCATTAAAATTTTTGGCAGAGATGATAGTTAAATAATTATTTGGCTACTGTTTTGGAAGAAGAATTTTTGTGAAATTTTAGGGGTCAGTGGGCAAAGATTTCTGTCTCCCCTTGGTAGTTCCTTACTTTACAACCATTCTAATGTTGGTAGGCTGTAGGAGGATAAGGACTGTGCTTGGGAACCCAAGATCCTAGTTAAAGCTAGCGTGTAAAGTAGCACTGCAGGCCCTGGGATGTTCTTGAACATTCTTCTCAAGAGACAGGCTACTTTTCCCAGTACAATCTCTTATACTGTCTTCAGCTGTTTTCTCAGGATTATTATTTTTTTGTGGCATGTTTCTCCTTTGTAATGCATCATGATTTACAGATTTATTTTAAATTTCTTTTAGTTGAGATGTTTTGTATTATTTCAGTATCTTACTCTTTGTTCTGACATTGAATAGCAATGAACATCATATGCAAATCCTGTCAAAGTTACAAGCACATAATTGAGTATGCATATTAATTTGAGAACGATGTATTTTAATAACATAAGGGGGGTTGTGTATGACTACATAAGTTTACTTTCTTCTTAGATTGATTTAGTCAACAAAGAACATTATAACAGCATAAAACACACTTAATTTTAATTCTGTGTCATCACAGATGCTCAGCCCAGTATGTAATCCTGAACACAGATGCAATTTGCTTGCTGTGCTGCTGCATCTCAATGGCCAAATGTGTTCCCTTTGTGGCCCAGTTTCCCCTCTTGGTCTGATTTCTGGGTTAGCACGAGGTTATCATTTACAGCTTGTGTAGTATATATACTGTAAATCTGTCAGTGCTTTCAACCTACACTAAGTCTGCTACATCCTGAATGCTACTGGTCTGGATGTCTCTATAGCTTTCCTTTCTATCCAGAAATATAATGTAATTCTGCTTGTCTACTTAGAGGAAAGTTCACTATTAGTGCTGAAGAGAACGTGAACGCAGACGGGATGTATTTTCCTCAGAGATGATGGGGCAAGGGCTTGGCATTGCTGATGTTTCCCATTCAGTGATAGCTCTAGATCTAGGGCAGGGCTGTAGACTGGTGGAGGACAGAAAGAGTATAACCTCCTTCAAAAATGACACATCCTACAGTGAGCTGAAAATTTAATGGTGTGAAATATTAGGAGGGGTTTATTTCAGTTCTTAGGTTTGAACTATATACAGCTTACCATAAAGTGTCGGAGTACAATTTAAACCTTTAAGGCATGAGTGACCAAGATGGGAGTTGTTGGCTGTATTGTTGTGGCCTTTTACATGGGCCACACTTTCCTCCAGACCACCCTCTTTTCTAACAGAACATGAGGCAGACAGGGTTTGTGCTGTAATAATGCTGTAGACTGCACTCTGTCACTGAGTGGAAGAACCATGGTGTAGTTCTCCATCCTCAGTGTACCCATAATATAGCCAACAAAACTGCAGTAAGTGGGCACTGCTGACAGAGGACACGAGACAAATACTGCAATCAAAATTGTCCTTCAATTTTTTCTTTTTTTTTTTTTTTTTTTGATGAAGCAAAATCACAGTGAATGACTTGATTTTTCTGTGCCTAATTGTGAAGGCGCTATAACATGTTAGGTTGGAAAGTTCCTTTATAATCAATTTTGCTGACACTGTGTTCTGTTTAGAAGAAAATATGAAAAAGGACTAAAAATGGGAATAAAAGAAGATTCATGTGAAAAGAAAAAGAAAACATTAATCAGAATCAAATATAGAACAGAGTAATGAATTACAAATGGCTTTCTCATGATTGTATAGCAGCTTTTTTCCACAGGATCTCTGCTCCATTCAAGAGAAAAATGAGCACTATTCACTGAATAGAAAGTATTCAGAGTTCCATTTTTATCCTTATCATTCAGTGTAAGGGCTGAGGTCTTATTTACCACACTTCAGCGAAGCTCTGCATTCCCTTGAGTTACTAATTTCATCGTTAGTTGTTTTGGGTTTTTTTTTATGGCTTTACTGAGTACTTCACAGACACTAATTAATTCATCCTCACAACACACTTGTGAAAATGATATTGTAATTTTAGTTTTATAAATAGGAATCTAACGCACAGAGCAATTTGTGTCAAAATCACCAAAAATCTATTTTTCAGGAGAAGCTTACCATACAATTTTTCAAAACACTCGTTATTTTATAGCATAAGTTTAAAACACGGTCTCTCTTGGGTTTAAGTGTAGCTAAGGCTTTCAGAGCTACTGAAAACTCTAGCTTCAGCTTCATATAGGGTTGGCACCTAGAAAATGAACACAATTATTTGCCATTGGTCAAAAATGTGTTGTAAATTACTCAGATTTATATAAGAATTCAGTTATCTGGGATGATATTCAGCTGACTTAATTATGAGACTCTCTATTTCAAAACTTCATTTGCAAAACTGCTTTTGTTATATGCCTTCTAATTTCTTCAACAAATGAGCCAGAAATCCTATAGACATTGCATAAGTTTACACATAAACTAAATTAATTTCCAGGTCCAAATCCATACAGTTACAACACGGACTTAGAACTCCTGCAGGGCAGTGTCTGTGTGTTTAATTGTTTAAATAAATTCTGGCTCATAAAGCATTTTCACAAAGGGACTCTATGTCATTTGAATGTGTATCTTCAGGTCTAACATTTTCTAACTTTCTGTCCATGTTTTTATGAGCTTAATAGCCTTGTTTTGCTGGGGTTTTTCCTCTCTAAAGTATCTTCTTTCTCAGTCTGCTTTATTAAAAAATATTCTTATCTCATGCATTCCCCAGAACACTCTCTCAGTGGTAGTTTCATGGCAGTTTGCTGGACAAAAGAATTTGCATTTGGAAGCACACATTTTAGGTTCCATTCCAAGTTCTGATGATTGTGTTTGCATCCTGATCTCTGCAGGCATTTGCTGGCCTCCAGAAACATGCTGGGTTTTTCCATTCCTTCCCAGGCTGTACCAGTTTCACATATGGATGAAGTTGCTTCCTCCTTTTCCCTATTTAGTTACTGGATTTTCAGTGACAAATACTAACACACCCTCCGTATATTTTCTATTTAATTTTTAAATAACTTTAAAGATTGTAAAACACTTTTTCTGCTGAATTGTAGTACAGGGTATGGCAGTACCATTTATGTCTGAAGTATACTTCATGATTAGCCTCAATAAGATGTCTGGAAGACAAAACTTTGTTTCAAATTACCAATTTGACAAACTTGAAATAAACTCCTGTACTAAAAAAGCGTTAGACTGTGAGAACCAGTCAGCTCAGACAGAAAGAGAACATGCATACATAATGTTTTAATGAAATAGAATAGAATAAAATAACTTTAAGAAAATTCCCTTCCTTGGATTTTAGTTTTTCAACTCTGAGTTATTTATAGTGTCAACTGTAGCAGATCAAAGGAAATTGGATCATTTTTATACTTACAAATGCTTTTTGCAAGTTACTTTTCTTTTTCTTTAGAGAAAGATAGGATTCCATTCCATTGCATTGCATGGCAAACTTCTTCGTGAAGTTACAATAACTTGTGGTAAATGAAACTACAGCATGATTTTAATTTTTAGACACTGTACTCAGTACAAGGCAAGATTTTCCTCAAAAATGTGGTATTTGAAAAATCTACTCCTCAAGAATTTATTATGTTTCAGAAATCCATACACCAAGTTCTACATTCAGGAGTCCCACAATTTCTGTTTCATGATTATAAAAAGCTAGTGCAGCAGCACCCACTTTGAATTTCTTGGTATGATGGACCCAGCATAAGCAATAGGCCCCTGAGACAGGAGTTTGTGTTACAGTTTGCAGGAAAAGAGGTGCAGCTCCTAAACTTGCCACGAAATCCTTGACGGTGAGGATAGGTGAAAGGTTATATAAACCTCACTGTTAATTACCTCAGACTAAGTCCAGAGCCAGCTTTGGAGCAGTTTTGCTGTCAGATAAACACAGTCAGGCTAAGGGAATCAGTGTTTTATTTGAGATGGTCGATATAGAGACTGTCCGTAAGATGGGAGCATGGAGGGTTTTTTGAGGTTTGGGGTTTTTTCCTCCTACTACTCTTAGATGATATGGGATTGTCAGTAGTGGAAGATTTTTTATTTTTTTTTGCATTAGAGCCAGTAGTATTTTGGAATAAACTTTTTTTTTTTTTTTCGATCTTCTGAACTTGATGTGCTGTATATATATTTAAAGATACTTCTGTATAACATGGAGTTTTAATCTGATGAGATTAATGATTACCCTTAAGCAGGAGATTTTAAACAGGCAGGCTGTTGGCTTTTTATTGTTTGGTTTTGTATCTTCTGATGTCTGAGAAATGGTTTGCTTCTGGAATGCAGTAACACTTACTCCTCTTCTTTTCACTTCTTTTTTTTTGTTGCCCTCTCTTGTGTCTGACCTTCTTACTGCTGATAGAAACAATG